ATTCTATTCTATTCTATTCTATTCTATTCTATTCTATTCTATTCTATTCTATTCTATTCTATTCTATTCTATTCTATTCTATTCTAAATGTGTTGGTCTGTCGTATAGCCATCACCTATTTGCTTTCAACTTTGAATTTCAGCCGTTTCAGTGGCAGTTTCCCTACAGAGTGGGCTGTAACATGGTATGACTTGAGGTTCCTTGGACCGCCATGAGAAATAGGAGTGTCACCTGTTATTTGCTTGTTTGTCACACATTATGGCCCATGCATAGGCACTGGCAAGCTGAATGGAGGAAAGCATAACAACCTCTGTATGGCTCATTGCTTATCAGAAGCAACCACCGGCAGCCATATTGTAGGTCAGCTGAAGCAAAACAAAGCAACAACAAAACGAGTCCTTTTGTGACAGATGAAAAGAGCTTGGAAATGTCTGGGCCATAAAGTCACTACAGCTGCCAATGACTTCTTGACTGTTTTTTTTTTTTTTAATAAATCTTTTTATTGCCTGAGGCCTGGATATTTTTTTTGCTGGGCCTTTCCAAAATTCTGTATATTAATGGCTCTTGGAAGAAAAAAAAAAACCACCCTCATATAAAGTTGAGGCATAGGCTGGGCAAAAAGTGATCCTTTCTCAAGAGAAATGAATCAAGTTTATAATACTAGAGCCTTGCAGCTTGTAAACTGAGATAAGGTTTTCGCTGCGCTTTCATTACCCAAGCACAAATTTCTTTTACAATCTATGCTGTAGCTTCACTCTTTGTGGCACAGCTTTTCCCAGGCCCCTTTGTGCTCACCGCACTTATTTTGTCCACCACTGTCCCAATTATGGAAGATAATGGAACAAACAAGAACTGGTTTATACACTAAAAAAAAAAAACCCTTTTCTGCAAGGCGTGAAGCAGTCCTTTGTATTTTCAAAGCAAATTTACATAGAAGTAAGTAGCCCAGAAATGCATTAGAACGGTGGCTGAGTAAATATGGTTAAGGCGGCAGAGTTAAGAAACCACATCCTTATGTCGCCTTGTAATTTTAACTCACAATTCCAACTCAGATATTAAGAACTTGCTTAAGCCTTTATGTGATGCCTGAGTCTGGCAGGAAGGAACAGGGCCTGCCATTCATATCTCAGATGGAAGTTTTGAAAATTAGTAAAAGCTAAAAACCCAATGACCCCCCCCCACTTTTCTCTTCTTAAAGAGAAAAGACTTTAATGGAATATTTGAGAAAAACCGCTCCATTTAACAACAACCGCTGAATTAATGCCAGTTTGACCTGGGTTTAATCCCATGCTATAATCCTGAGAAATGATATCTGTATTACTGGGGTGTTTGCTGCTACTGAACTATTTTCAATTATTTTAATATTTATTTCATAGGTTTGCAGTCTACTTGAGTAACTCATCCAGAAAAAAAAAACAGTGCTCCTTGGAAAATGTGGTATCAACTATTTTTTTTTCCCAAAGAAGATGATACCTCTCATTTTTTACATTTTTCTTCCCACCAACCCATTATCTCTCTCTCTCTTTCTCTTTGACACACACAGCATGTAGTGTTTTTCAAACTTGGCAACTTTAAGATGAATGGACTTCAGCTCCCAGAATTCCTCAGCCAACATGCTGGCTGGAGAATTTTGGGAGTTGAAGTCTCCACATTTGAAAAACACGAATGTAGATTATTCCTGTTTCAAAACTCTACAGAACCCACTACTTGTATGAGAGGCTGCCTTTTAAATATCTAAGGTACATAGTGACCATTGGTTACATTATAAAACATTTTTTTCCTTTGGATTGGCAACAAAGAGACTCTTTTTAATGTGATTTAATGGTCAGCAGGATTTCTATATATCTTATATTTTCCTCTTTGGAGATATATGCAAACTTTTTGAGCATGGTTGAAAGTCTAAGTGTGCAATTTTATGTTTGCCCATATCTGCAGTTAGAATTGTTTTGAGGATTCGTTGCCTTATTAACTATTGTAAAGCAAAAAAGCAATATATGTCTATTGCTACAGATATTACACAATTTAACGCAATGGTTCAGCCAAGAAAACATTTCAATATAGCTCCTAATTACTTTATATTGCAGCAATGTGATTGTTATAGAAAAAACGGATATGTTCAAATTCCTCTGTAACCAAATATAGCATTGGCCTGCAATATTTTTCTGCCTTTCCCCATCCCACCACAATTATGTTCATGAAATGTTGTTATCTGAAAAAACCCTCTCTTTTCCATGAAGGCTTCCTAAAACTAGTTCCTTTATTCAGCTGAAGTGTGATGTGATGTTTTCATCAAAACAATGCAATGAGTGTTGCATTCTCCTAATCCAAGGTGAACCCCTTTTGTATATGCTTGCAGGACGTATATCAAAGGGGCAGAATTTACATCCTGACAACTCAGCACTTGCTCCATCCCTTGCTTATCTTCTTGTGAACACCTCCAGATCCAGCTACCTTGTGGGACTGACCCTTTCTGATCATTCCTATAATTCTCTCATGCCTATGCTGAATTAAAGTGGTCTCTGCCCATCCTTGAACCAGCAGAAAACTATACCGCTATCTCCATTGCTGATCCCTATTTCCTACTTCTATTTCCTCTCTTTCAAGTTGCTGCCAATCACTTGATTTCCTTCCAGCTCAGGGCTAAGCTAAACAGCTTCTTTTGTGTCTATATGCCTGCCTTTGAGCCAGTGCTGACTTCTGGTAACTGACTTAATTAATCCCTACAGTTTTCTTGGCTAGGTTTTTCGGAATTGGTTTGCCATGGCCTGTTTCGTAGGGCTGAGAGTCGGCCCAGGGCCACCCAGTTGGCTTTTTGTCTAAGGCAGGACTAGAACTGAAGATCTCCCAGTTTCTAGTCTGGTGCCTTAACCACTACACCAAATTGGCTGTCTAACAGATTCTACACACCTTAACATTGCCCTTGAATAGTATTGGAAAGAATATTTTAACTCCGGTATATTTAAAGATGACTTCAACTTGTCTTACTTGTGGGCTGGGAATGAAATAAAGTGAAGAAAATTACGTAGAGACACTGAGAAAAAGAATGTTGTCAGGGCACGTTTGCACCATAAGTAGGTGCAAATGGATTTTTTAAAAAACTGTTCCCATTCTGTGATCGCACATCGGTCAAGTGAACACATCAGGCCTAGCTAGGAATTTTTGACCCTACCACAGAACCTTGGCTTGGATGGGTTCACCGGTGTCACTAAGCTTCAAACCAACCACGTTACTGCTTTTGCATTATCTGTGAGTCGTGCCGGTACTTCCGATAGTTTGAATTGATTGAAATTATTACTGAGTTCTTATTCGGGTCTTGCTTTATAACAAGAATGTGAGCAGAGTCCTTTTCT